AGGGAAAGAAACAAGAACTATTTCAGAACTTTTCAAGCACAGCAAGATGACCTGTCATGATAGGAAAAGTCTGAGCTCTACCCAAAGTTCCCATATGGACTTTCTAATGTTTTACTTTCAATGAGCATGCACTTATTCCTCAGTTCTGGATTTCTGTGTTTCAACAGCAGCAATTAAAAAACCTAAGTAAATTTTAAAAAAATAAAAACTTAAAAAGTCAAGTTCATATTACACACAGTCCTGCAAAGAAAACAAGAGCAGCTGATCTCCCCACTTTCAAAACACATCAAAATATTAGGAATAGCTACCATCTGCAGAGGCTATAAATGCTTTGTGTCTACATTCACAACATTTCTTTCTGGATAGCTTTTCAGAGTGTCTCATTACCTGGGATCACAGCTTATATTCAAAGCAGAACACAGTGATACCAAGAACTCTGCACTCACTATGGGCCACCTAGGATTTCCTTTTCTTCAGCTGTTAACTGAAGCGGATCCAGCAGCTTCAGCCCTTGAGACAGAGAAGAATGAGCAGAGCAAGTCTTTTCCTCTTCGATACTAGCTCAGGGAATAAGTGGATGTATAGGTCACACACCATTAAGGAGAACCCTTCTCTCAGGCATTTCATGTACTAAGAATCTGAGCCACAAGAGATTTTCTTACTCAAGCACTTCTGCAGCTTCATTAGAAGTGACAACATTTGCAGACTAAAAATGAATCTAAAACTGCTATTTAAAAAAAAATAAAACCCCTGACTATTTCAGAATCATCAATTAAGTAAAATAAAAACTAGCTGTGTGAATAGATCAAAAACCATTCACACCAGCAGAAAGCCCAAGAAAATGTTGAGTTTTGTACAGCCCTGTGGAAGCCTCGCTGCTGTGCCATAGCTCCTCAAATGGTTATTTCAGAATCATTCTCAGAAAACAATGTATAATTTTAAAATCCTTTAATAGCACAATCCTGGGACCGGTGAATGGAGAAAATTATTCTGTACCTTTAAGGCCAAACTATCAGAAATGCAGTAAGGCAGTAAGGAGAAATTGCTGTAGCCACAAGTAGTCCTGACATATTGGCACAGGCTCACATGAAAGCAAGAACCAAGGAAAAACCATTCTGAATTTGCTGAGGATCATCCCTTATTTGTAGCTTGATTTCACATGTTGGTTGGTTTTTTTTTCAAATCATCACACAGGAGGCTAAAAATGCTGCCCTGATTTCACAGAAGAATGTATGCATGAATGCAAACTTTGAATGCTGGGATGATAATTTCACAGAGGTTTTCATTCCAACTAGAAGTTTACTGTAACATCACCCAGAACAGAAGTATTGGTATCCACTATTAGCAAATGGTCAGATGAAATTAATACATTTCCATGTCATTCATCATCACTTATAACCCATATAGCAGACTTTCACTTGAAAGTAACTGCAGTCAGGTGCAATAAAAAAAATATGATTCATGCATTCAATGGTTGCCCCTTTTAAAAGGGAAAAAATGGCATAGAGGGCAAAGCAAACAATCCCATAAACCACAAGCACTTGCAAAAAGACATTTTCCACCCAAATGGAAATGAATAGAGAGATAAGACTGCATCACCTAGATATGCTGAGCCAAGACAATCATCTTCCAAAAAGCACTGATTTGCATGTTGAGATTTGCATTTTCAGTAAGTGCACTATGTAATGCAGTTGGGTGGGAGCCAAACTACCAGTTATTAAGCTTAAAAGGATGAAAACCACTTTTGAGACTCCAAGACGGAAAACTAACAGCTAGATGCTTCAGACCCATTTTAGATAAGTCAAAGTCATACAATACAAAAATAGCTCCTGCCTCTTTTTTCACCAATATGATTACTTGCTCTGTATTCCTGCCTCAGGTCTTAAGGAATCACTGCTACCTAGTAAGAGTTCTTGACACTCAGCTTCAAATGGGAATGATAACAAATGCCAGCCAGAATTTCCCAAAAATAACTTGATAACAAAATATCATGAGAGGATAGTGGCAGCATTACACCATGATGAATTATGAATATGTTTCCTCCCCTCCTACTCAATCCAATGATGGTTAAAATATCCCCTGATTCACACATACAAAACAAAACCAAGGAAGGGATGGGAACAGTGAGAACTTACCTGAAAAATTTCGAGACACAAGCATTGTCGTGAGGATTGCACCCTGTGGGGAAGAGAAAGCAGGGATAACAGACAGCATCACTCACTTCAGAAAGGGGCTGGGCTGACCCATGGAGAACTCAGTGCATCAGGTGCCAAAACAGAGGTATCCCAGAGCTACCCTGGGAAGCCCTAGTGTATCCAGGATTCCCACATGTGGCTGTTGGACCTGACACGGGACTGCTCAGACTCCTGCCTTTCAAGAGGCCAGGCAGGATGGCTTGGGAAATCTAAAATGACACTAACAGTTATGTTTACACACACAGTTGCTTCCTGACTTTCAGATAGCAGGCTACAGGCTTTGGCCTAGCTGCAGGCAACTGATACACCATTACTGGGAGGCAGGGAGTGACCAGAGCTAAAAGCCCCAGAACCTAAGAACTAGTTGCTCTATTTCAACTCTTCTGCAGGAAGTAGAAGGAGTGATTATGTAGCAGAAGAGGAGTGGGAAACTTACAGCTTTGGAGAAAGAAACTACCCTATAGCTCCTCAATGCACTTCTTTAGTACCCTGTACTGGAGGACTACATAAGGTAGTGCTCACTAATGTTAGTGAGCTAATTGTAAAAGAAATACTGTTGCTAGGAAGGCATTAACCTCAAATTTAGAAGACTAAAAACAAACTTAAGGCAAACTAATGTATACTTACCTTTAGCTTTCTTCTGGCATTGAACTTTCTCAAGCATTCCACAGTCTCCTGTCTGTGCATCATTGAAGCAACAGTGGATCGTTGCTGAAAAACAGGAAAACCAAAAGATCAAGAACATGGCCTAACCAAATCAGCCAGGGTGTTCTCCTCAGTTGTACACAACCACTCATGTGAGCAGACATGGCCAAGCCTCTCACCACTGCATGGCTGCAAAACACTGCAGCTGGTTCACAACTTAAGAACTTCCCAGTACAGCAAGACATGTTAAGTCAAAGTTGGCTATTACAAGACTATGCCTAAGAAATTCTGACTTAGGTACAGGTAAGAATCAATGCTCCCTGTCTCAGACACACAAATGGATCAAGACAGTAAGAAGACAAAGGCAAATGAAAAAGCATACCCATGGGGAACCGAGTTAAAAGAAAAATTCTGGGTTGCATTAGTTACAGCTCTAAGGGGAAATTCCCAGCAGTAAGTGAATATAAGCAAGCAGTAACCTTCCTGGACATGGCAACTTCATGACTGTAAGTGCTTGACTAGCAGAGGCCTCGGCATCTTTGCATCAGTTTTGCAGAAATAGATTTTCAGTGTGCAAGAGGAAAGATCATGTAGCTCTGTTGTACCAATGCAAAAGTATGAGCATAACCTCTAGCCAGTGATGCACACCTGTCACCCACAAAGAACTGGGATCCCAGCAGCTGCAAAAAGAGAACTTCCCAGAAGCATTACCAGTCATTGACAGCACATGAGGAAACCAGAGACTGGAGCTGCCAGGCATTTAGAGCACATGAGGAAGCCAGAGACTAACGCCAAAGTAGCTGTTGCTCTTGCATAAAGCTACAAGCTTGAATTCCCTTTACAAGGACAGTGAATGAATTACTAACTTGGCAGATCAGAGTGTACAAACCCTCCATTACTTTTCTCCTGCTTGGAAAAAAATCTGCAATACCCAAAAGAACAGTAAACCATGCTCACATTCAGCTCATTTCATGAGAAGTCTCTGCTTTGATCTTGTCAGCAAAGCTAGTCACCTGCTGCAGTACACACAGCAGTGTGGAGGGAGAATGTAGCTAAACTGTCCTCTTCAACAACTTTGATGGTCACTGTTCATTCAGCCTCCTTAGGAGTGACAGTGATCTCCAGTTGTTCAATGTGGGCTTAAAAGAGCCAAGACGTGTACCTCAGAAGTTCAGTGATGCTAAGAAACTCAGTGTCCCAAATAAACTGTTAAGATTTCCTACCACATTTACTTCAGAGGAGCAATACACCTTCAGAATGAAAAATGTACGTTGCACACAGAGACTGCAGAGCAAATGGTAACAACAGACTCAACAGGAGGCAGTTTGGGTGAGAGGCTGAAATGGGTGTGAAGTGAAATCAAACTCCCCATAACTCAGAGAAGGAAAGCCTCTCTTGATGCCACAGGGAGCGTGCTATTGTAATATGTACAGCTTTGGTTACAGGCATTGTAATATACAGGAACTGCTATTGATTACAAGCATGCAAGGAGAAAAAAAACAATACAGAGATGTAAAGTATCAGCTGGTGTGAAGTTCTGTCTTCCAACGAACTTGCGTCACTTTACAGCAGACACTACACTCCTGTTACACAGATGTTCACAGAGGTTAAGTTTGAATTGCAAATTTATTGTTTTGCGGTGGAAGGAAAAAACCACTACAGATTCTCAAAAAAAATGAGTGAAGGAACACTCTGGAGACATCCTAGAAAGCAAAAGTATGCTATGGTATTACAAGAGCATCTGGTTAGACTTAGGTGGAACTATTTCATCCTGCAGAGATAAAAGTGCACTATTGCCGTCCTCCCCTACGCCCACTCCCAGCTGCATTCAGGGATTTCCTTGCCAACTTTGCAAAGGATGACAAATACCCATGTGTGGGGTCTGGCAAGTAGGAAACTACATACACAGAACAGCAAAGGATTTTTCGCTGATTTCAGGTTTACAGCCAATTAAGCTGCAGCAGAGGAGAAATGTTCCAACATTGCAAAGATTCAATGCAAGAAATTGAAGCAGAGATGAAGAACAAAATAATCCTAAAATATTTTGTCCGATGCCAAACTCCAATTGACATTTTAGGATCACACGGATTCAAGATGTGGGGAAAACCAGAAACCACAGACGTTCACAAGGCTTCTAAAAAAAAAACAAGGGATTTATTTTTTCCATACAGCAGCAATAAAAGCACCACAGCACGACAAAGTTGGCTTGTTGAAGGTCAGCCTCCAAAAAAACCCCAAACAAACCACATTTTGAAATATTTAAAATATCCTGGGCTCTTCTGCAGCTACGTCTTCTTGACATGTCAGTTCAAGGTAAACCACAACTCAATCAGTAATAGAGGAAAACACTTACGCAGACCCATGGATGTTTGAGAGCCTGGTCAGCTGTGATGCGCTTTGCTGGATTTATCGTCAGCATCTGGTTGATCAAATTCTTTGCTTCGGGAGTCACAGTGTCCCACTCAGGTGATGGGAACTGAAAAAGGAAGAAAGAACAGATGATGAACTGAGAATATATTCTACTAGCAGAAGAGATCTTCCCTCCTACACAGCTGAATTCCAGCTGTTGCCCTTTTGATACCAGGGGTAACACAGTTGCAAAACATCAATTCTTGTGAAAGCTCACGCTGAACAAAAATCATACAGAATCCAGCAAGCGAATGGTACCAGACAGCATGACACACCTGTACCATTCACCAGACACAGGCAGGAAGATTAACAGTTTAAAAGCCTTTTAGGAATCACTCAGACCTTTGAATTTCTCTCACACTCAGCATTCAAAAAAGTAAAGTCACAGATCTTTTTAATGGAGTTCTGACATGAAAAACACAAGCGCTGGCTCTTTTACCCCACCTTGCTCTTTCTCCAGCATGCTAAAAAGCTGTAAAAGCATTATGCAAAATCACAAACACTGAGCTACAGCAAAACCTTGTGAAAGTGAAAACCACTAACAGAGAACATCTCACCAGGTGCACATTCCCCATCATAAAGCACAATATGCTGGAACAGTACCGGTCACTTAGGTGCAGCAACCCACCAGCAAGTTGATAGCAAGCATCTACCATACCAGAAATCATTACTTGGGGAGCAAAAGAGGTGTAATACTGGATGGGAATACAGAAGCATGGAAACCAAGAAAAAAAATCTCAAGTTGTTGATCATCCACGATGGGTGACTGCTCTCTCCTGTAATTCCAGTGATGATAAAGATGAGATAGTTACACCATTCTCCAGATGCTTGCATGTGGTATAGATGCTGAGATTAAATGAAGTATGTCTCACTCATATGAATCTACTGTACAAATACAAGGGAACTCGAGAACACAAAGATAAATGTGCTGTTGAGATAAAAGTCCCCTGTCTTTAAGACAGGGAAAGACTGATCTATCCCATGAATATTTCCTTACAGCACTACAACACTTCGAAAAAGTTTATCCCATCCCTCTTCTCCTGCATTTTGTGCTTTGCTCAATTGGGTCATCAAAAAAACACCCGCCACATTTGATCTGCATATAATCTTATTTCTGCATTCTCAAGCATTAGCAAGGCATCATACAATTTGTTCTGCAAGCACTGCAGGAGACAACTAAAAAATATGATACTGAGCTTTCAGCCAGGACACTTTCAACCCACTCCAACTCTGAAGTATTCATGGTAATGCCTTGCAAAATCCTTACCCAACAGCACAAAGCCCAAGTGTGAGTTGCCACTTCCTCTATGGTCAAGAGACAACAGACTAGTCCAGTGCACACTTGGTGCTGGGGTAAGGACACCAGGGGCAGGTATGCCAGTAAAACTTGCCAGACAAAACAGGGAGGATATCTGGACTTGTTCATTATAGGTAAGAATTCAAAACCAACAGATAGATAGGAGGCATCAGGCACTTCACTCCTCATGACTTACAGAAAGAGTTAGACATTTAAAAACCCCTGAAATGCTTTGAAAATGCCAACTGATATAACTAACACAAAAACACTTCTAATGAGAACAAGCAACACAGAAACAAGAGAGGCAAGAAGGCAAGAAAAGAACACAAGTCCATTTGAGGCTACCAAGTACAAAGACATCGCTTTCTTTTCAATCAGGAAGCCACTGAGCCAGGACACGGGGTTAGGCAGACCTAACCAGTACAGCCACTCTCATGGTCTCAGGCACAGATGTGGGAGGCAACTGGCATCCAGCAGAACCCTTGCAACTCTCACTTTTTTTTTTTTTTAATACAAACCATAAGATAGCCTACAAAATGAACTTCCCAACTTTCTCTTGATATTCATGGCCACAGCCTTTGAGCTAGGTTTTCCAGGAATTCCTTCTTCTCTCCCGAGCTGCTCCTTTCATAGAAGGATTTATGCAAAACATTCAAGCTGTGGTACCCAAACAACACTTTATACCACCTTTGCTTCCCAGTACTAACCTCCTTGCTATTACTCTCCTTAAGGCACTTCTTACACCTCAGTTTTGCCATGCTGTGAGAACTGCTCCATGAACTGCTTGGCTTTTTACCAGAGCTTCCAACCCATCATGCTGATCCCCACCACAAAGCCACCCCTCCAAAGGCCCTTGACATTCACTCTTCTCACTGGGTTCCACATTTTCCATGACTGGAATAAATTCCACTGTGGCACTGAGGAGACCAGAAGCCATAATTTAAGCAGTTATTCCACAGAATACTCCCCCACACTTACAGTCAGGCCTTGATAAAGACAGGGTCCCTCATTCTACCTTCCCTGTGCTCCCCTGCAAGAGTTAGCATTGGCTACATCTGCAGCACTTTGTGGTAATGCAGTAGAAGACACCATTTCCCACCATCTGCATTTCCAGCTCTGCATTTCCCTAATGACCAGCAACGTCTCGGTGCCCACTGTGGTGCTTTCCACATAACCTTTCAGTAGCCCCAAATAGGACTGTATCCCAGGCAGTGAAGACAACGAGGTGTATGAACACGCCAAACATCGCTTTGCACAGTAGCTTGGGGCCTGCTGCTGGACACCAAGTCAGATAGTGCCATGTTTTGGATGGCTTCTACACCCATGCAGGTACTCAGCAAGAAAGTGCCCTTACGTCATAGGCTCCGGCTTTGATCTGCTGATAGAGTTTGTGCTGATCTTCATCCCAAAAGGGAGGGTACCCCACTAGTAATATGTACAGAATCACTCCTGGGAGGGAGAGACACAGATACACTATGGTTAGGCTAATACGCCAATTATTCCTTCAGCCCCTCTTCCTTCCCTCTTGATAGTCCCCTAGGCAATGACTGCTCTGCATCTTCATTTGCCATTATATTTAGCCTTCCACAGTAAAAACAAAGTTCAAACCTCTCCTCTG